ATTTTTCCGCTTTTTATGATATTTTTTTTGTCTTTACATTATATCGTCTTCCTGCTTTTGCTGCTGCTTTTTTTCTTTACACATAGGTTTTCTGAAGCAGCTTCTGATGTGAATTTTGTTTGATTTGATTTCCATGTACTGGCTCCTATCAGTCCACATTTTTTGGCTAAACGTCACAAAAATTTTGAAAATTATTCATTTAAATAAAGTGAACTCTAAGCAACTGCAAAATAATAATAAATATTATATCTTTTGAATTAGGAAAATAATACATGCAACGAGTTGAATTCAATTAAAATTATTAGGCATTAGGGTAGTGATTCTAGCCAAATAAGTTTCATTATAAAGATTATTAGATCGCTATTCATGATTTTATTATGTAGGTTACTGTACAATATTAAATTGCTTACAAAGATATTTTTGGGGCCTTAAACCAACGATATTTGAGTTGTGTTGGATGGATGAAAGCCTCAAATAATAATATCTTACTCTTTGTGCATATTACTTTTTTATAATGTCTCTATTTTGCAAAAAATTTGTGAATATTTTATGGGTATAACGCTTAAAGTGAATGTGAAAGTGCAATTATTAACCTTATACCCTGATTCCAGGTATGTTTAGTGCAATCCTCCAGCTGAATGAAGTTAAATATTGTTTATAAAATTTCAACATGTAATTTTAATTTATGATAACCAAAATCGATGTAAATAGAAAAGGAATATCAAAGAGAACTCGGCGTTTATTTTATATCAACAAGAATTGGTTCAACATCTTTAATTTCTGATTTCTCATCAATATTCGTGGGGTAACTAAATTAAGCAGGACTAATTAATGGATGAACTTGAAATATTATAAGCGGGAAAAAAAGAGAGAAAGGAACCGCAACTCTGAAAAATGTACCAATTTGCAGGTGTTTTCATTCCACTACTTCCTGTAAATGGCAACAAATGGATAAATTCACTATATGTTGCCTTGTCTTCTTTGGATGATCTTTGAGAAGGGTAAAAAGCAACGACCAATGAGGCTACCAACACCACTCTCCGTAATATTTCAGTCCAAACAATATCCAAGAAAATAAAAAAGCAAGATTGAAAAATTATGAATGTAGATTAAAAATTTAACACAAAATGTATAGTTAATAACGTTAAAATATAACATGTATTCATTTGCTTCAAACATAAATCCAGACATGGAAACAGTAGTTTCATTGTTTTCTTTCATGTTTTCCACAATATAATAAAGGATGAACAGAATGGAAAACGAAAATGAATTGCAAACTATATATATTTTTAAAAAACTAATATATCCCAAATGTTACAAAATTAGTAAGCATAATGCAGAAGATATAGCTGGTAAACTACAAAATGGTAAGCACTGAATACATGATATGATGAACCATATGAAAATGTGAAGCAGCAAGGGAACAAAATCAGTAGAACCAATGAGGATCCACCGTTAAAGCAAGAAGCTAGACTTAGCCTTTAAGGAAGGTAACTCAAGGGTCTATAGGGTGGTGGTGGTGGTGAAGAGGGTCAGGTCCTGTTGGCACTTCTCTTGCCGAGTCTTCTACTATGCCAGCATTAGCAGCTTCGTTCCCAAATCTTCCAACCTGCAAATAAAATGAGAGTATGAAAAGTTAATGAATAACCAATAAAAAAAAAACTATTTTTTTCCTCTTCTGCTTTTAACATGTATCCGTTTATGTACATACTACCTCGATTTTTGTTGCTATGAGCTTGCTTCCTGCCATTTTTGGTTGATACAAACGATCTGCATAATATATATATCAAGCAATGGTTTTATTACAACCAATTACTAACAAACAAGCACGAAAATATTTAAGAGTGATTTTTGTTGAACTCACTTGAACTCTTAGAGGATTGAACAAAGGGTAATAAAATCACAAAAGTGAGGATCACAAGGTTTAAGACCCAGAAGAGATTTTTCTTGATGGTCATTGTTTTAGAGCAGTGATGACACAACGGCTTCTAAGAAAAGAGGGGTGGCATAAAAGAAGTTTCTTTTTCCTTCTTTAAAAAAATACCCTCTTTTCTCTTGAAACTTCCTTTCGTAATTCCTATCTTTCTGGCCAGAAATGAGGGTTTTTGAAGGGATTGGTGATTGATGGGTGAGTGAGTGTAAGAATTGGGAAAATTGGTAAATAAGTTGACAATATGAACCTCATGGTGTTGAGGGAAATAAGCGTGGAAGAGAAAAGGACAGGGAGGGGTAAAGTTGGAATTGAGGGAGAGACAGTGACAATGTCACGCAGATGGACACTATTCCGAGGTAATGAGACGTTTCATAGTCTGGCACGTGTCGGGTAGACATCCTCGTAGGGATGCTGGCGGCGGGAATAACCAGACACGTGGAACTTCATCATTGGTAGGAAGCGGAAATAAAACAACGTATAGGTGGACCACCTCCAATCATTTTGGGTGGGGCCACTTCATCACACTGCTCCCATGCTTCTCTCTTGCGACCGCCCAATTTGCTTTTTGTTTTTGGAGGAAAAAAATGGAAATGGATAATTTTTTATTTTAAAATAATTATTTTAATTTAATATTTTTGAGTTAAAGATATAAAATAATATATCAGCATAAATATAATATATTAATTTGAAAAATTTATCTTAAAATTTTTTCCTAATTATTTTAAGTTCTTATTTTTTTGTTTTTTATTGAATAGTAATATTAGAATAAAAAAATAGTTTTACTTTTAAGATTAAGACTGATAAATTTTTTTGGGAGTTCACAATTTTAAGTCAATAGAAAAATATGAGTAATTGAAATTTTAGCATGTAACTTTTTTAAACAGTTGATGTGTTTCTTTTAGAGTTGAAAAATGGATTGCACTTGATGCAATTTGGATCCGATATGTTCTGTTAACACCACAAAAATGTTTATGCTTTGTTTATAAAATAATTTAATATCCTAAGGACCGGGATTCACACAATTTGGAAAACAACTACAAAGGATTGGAATCCAAGAGTTCTGTTTATGTTCCACCATTTCTAAACCATTCTTGCATGGCAATGTTACTTCTTAGTACCATGATCCCATGTCTCCCATACTTTGCCTAGCTCATGGCGACAATGCTAATTCAAAATTCCTTTTCATAAAACTTCATTTTCAAGTTTAAATCTGATTGAGCACTCTTGAGCCTTCAATTTTCAAAGCTCTTACATTACACAATTTATTGGTATTTTAAGCTACGTTATAAGAAATGCATCATTTAGAGTAAGTTCATTAGCTGTAGTTAGCAATAATTGCCAGTAAAAATACATAAAAAATAACATTTAACGGTAATTTTAATAACTATCACAAAAAATACAAAATTTAGTGATAATTTTTTGCAACTATCATAAAATTGTAAAATTTAGCGGCGATTTTTTGTAATTGTCGCAAAAAATGTAAGATTTAGCGGCAGTTTTACATAACCGTCATAAAAAAATACAAAATTTAGTGTCAGTTTGCAATAACAAAATATAAAAAACATCACACAACCCCCACTCATCTCCATCACCTACTTAAAGTCTCCTTTTCACTTCCACCTCCACCTTGGCCTCATTGAGTTTCACCACTACTTTTCTCTTTGCTATTACCACCATTGTCACTGCCACTACGGTTAAAATGTCTTCTCCAATTATGACAATCTAATAATTTTCTATTATCCTTTTCACTTCCTTCAAAAATAGCTCTCCTTCAACAACTCTAAACTATAAATTATATAACATATATGTTGTGATGTTAAAAAAAAAAGAAGAATATGAACTCAAAGAGTAAAAGAAAGGAATAAGTAGAAGATAAAGACCGGAGAAAAGTGTAGAGCTAAACTTTAAAATAGAGCATTATTACTTGCCACGCAGTCTGATTTTTGAATTTCAAATTTTAGTGGCGGTTCCAAACCACTACTAGATAACTGTTGCAAATTTAAAAATTTAACAGCAATTCAAAACCACCACAAATTTGACTTTGTGTCACTAATTTTAATGTTAATTTCATAATCGCTAAAATAAAATTTAGAGACAATTAAAATTGTTGTTAATCTTAAAATTTAACTATCACAAATTAACAATTTTTTTTTAATAATAAATCTTCCTATTAACACTTACCTTTTGGTTTAACATCAATGATTTTAGAAGTACACTTCCTTATAATGACAACATCAAAAGACTATTCACTTACAACTTCAAATAATTAGGTTGGAAATAAAAACTTGTGTTTTCCTTTTAAATGTTAAATAATTTTATGTAATTGAAGTGCTCTTAGCCAAGTTGGATCTAATTTTTGTCTTTAAACTCTTCTTGAGGAAATGTTGTCATAAGGGTGATTGTTTTTATCATCATCAATGCTTTGGTTGAAAGAAAAAGCCTTGTTGCTGACATTTTCAATTTTCATTTGTTAAGGTTTTTCTTAACTTTAGAAGTTAATAGAAAGAAAATATTATTTACACATATTTATTTAAAATAGTTTCGCGTTTGAGTCAACTCATTTAAAATTTTAATTAAGTCAATTAATAAAATTAAACAAAGTTAAATTTTTAAAAATTAATTAATTTACGTTAAGTCTCGAGTTGATAAAAATTAAATCAATTTTATTGGTCACTTAACTTAATACAATAAAAAATTAATGAAGAACAAATAAAAATTCAAAATAATATTAATGTATATATATAAAGTTTTCTCGAGCATGTAAATACCTTCTTCCTTTCTTCTCCAAGTTATATTCTAAATGGTAAAATGGATTCACCCGTACCTTCTTTCTTTCTTCCCAAGTTATACTCTAAATAAAAATAGTAAAATGAATTCACCTACTCCGTTTTATCTTACTATTTTAAATTAAATTTACAAGTAACATAAGAAATATTTATTTAATAAATTTTTAAATTTTACATAATTTAAAATTTTTTGATCTTTAAATAGATTAATCTGGTAGTAAAATATGGTAAACTATTTCCAAGGTATGCTTTTCTCTTTTTTATTTCCATTTATTTTTTCAAATATGGATGGAGGATAATTCAGAGTTTCATTACATAATTCAAGCGTCGTGTGTGGATTAGATGCCATGAACAATAATCTTAAATAGTAAAATGTAGGAAGGAAAAGAAGGCATCATAATAATGCCATTTGCACATTTTAATATGAATTTCATTATTTCGTAGTTAGGCATCACACCAAAGTGACAGTGCACCATGACTCCCTCGTTCGATTTGATAATGTCGTCATTGGCACAATCTCACCATAATTTAAATTCTTATTGTGGAGAGACCAACTTATGCAAAGCACTGAATCATTTAAAAGATTAAAATACACTTCCAATTCAGCTGCCTATGTTTCCTATATTACAATTTAGAAGACAAGAAAATCACAACAAATTCTATGGTCTTCCTCAATTAGTCATAGACACGGGCAACTACATTCTCAGTGAAGATTTGTCAGCAAAAATTTAAGTATTTATCGATTTTTCAAACTTTATAATATTGCATAGAATAATAAATTATTTATAATATTTTTTCATTAAAAAATATAGCATTTAATAATATTAATGTAGTGAATTATATTAATTTCTGGATTTTTTAAATTATTATATATAACTTATTATCTTATATAATATTCGACATGTTATAAAAATCGTTATATTAATATCACTAGTAGCTTTTAAGGTTTTAATTATTAAATGCAGATGAGACGGCACCTTAATGATATTAATCTCAGCCTTATCTAAATTGTCAAAAGTAGATCAATTTTTCTAATGTGAGCTTATAGATACATGTTAAGAAATATACATTTTTAATAAAAAATTGTATTATTTAAGATTATTAATGTTTTGTTATTTTCAATACAAACTTACAGTACATAGATTCTTATTAAAATTGGAGGTAATCCTCTTCCAAAGAAATTTACCTGAATAATCATAGAAGTTTAGTTTAGCCAATCCAATAAATGAAATTTTTTTACATGAAACCCCAATCATATGTAATTGATATGGGAAGTGGGGTAACCTATAGAACGAAATTCATGCTTCTGTCATATGCTCTGAAGATTGATGACTTGTTAATGTTCAAATTATATTTTTTTAACTTCAAACCCCATAAATACAACACAAAACTTGGAACCTTCACCAAGCTGAAGTTGAAGTTGAGGTGCTGGAATATTTGTAGTTCCTGGGAAAAGAATGAAACAAATATAAGACAGAAGTCATGAAAGGTAGGCAAATCCAAGAAAAATGCATGAGAAGAATAACACTTACACTCTTAGCTATGAGTGAGTTTGAATAATCTATGCCCCAAAGTACTGGATAATTTCGTCATCGCACAAGAAATCTTCTAAATGGAATGGAGGACTGCTGAGTCCTCCAAAATCTAATGACATGCCACTACTCAATGGTGATCCAAAGAAAGTGTGATCTATAGGTCTATCTAGCTCATTTTGAAATGTGTCTTTTCCATAATATTGCACGTCTCCTCCTTGAATTTCACCTGCTTTTATATGCACTGAATCATTGTCTAGCCTAATTGGTTCACTGTGTCCATCATGACTAGGTCCATATTCTGCCACTGAATTACAAAGATTATAAATTTCATTATGCATAGCAGGGTTTTCCACCTCTAGACAGTGCAGTGGCCCCCCATTAATATGCGTGGCTTCTAAGGAATTTAGGTTTTTTGAACGTAAGGAGTACTTATTGGATTCGGGTACTGGCAATTGAGCTGGCACCTCAAGTTCTTTTTCTACAAGTCTCAAAGTAGAATCTATCACATTGCCCTGTTCATTTGCATGAGTCTGGATCCCAACTACTTGTTCTTCCATCTGATTCGTGTCGAGCAAAGTGCTTCTTGTTCCATCATGTAAAGTTTTATGGTGAGATGGAGTAGGTAGTTTGTCAGTGGCACTTGACCTTGGACGGAGCCTTTTTTTCCTGCGTTGCTTCTCAGCTTGATCTTGGACTGAGTCATTGTGCAAATTATCTGATGCTTCAGTATCCATCAATTGATTTCTCCTATCTTCTTTAGAAGAAACAGAACCAACACCGTCATCAGCACCATCAACATCATAATCACTATCTCTACTAGCACTAGCTTGCTTATTTTCAATAGGAACACCACGCAGCGTTTCAGTTACTCCAGAGGTACCGTTATCACTACTAGGTTGCCTAATGAGAGCCTCTTCTCTACTTAATACTGCCAACCAAATACCACTCTCCTTTGCTGTCATCTTGTCTTGCAAGCACTTTGACTGACGGACATGCCTCCTTATTTTTGCAATATCAGGTGACAAGTGCTTTATAACAGCAGTTAGCACTCCAACTTTCCAAATCTTCTTCAAATCATGTGGCTTCTTATAAGGAGGAGTCTGACCGTAAGGTAAATTCAATTGTACCCACCAATCTTCAGTCCCGGTTGGCCACCAAGGTGGGGGATTACCCTTTTCCAATGGATACTTCCTCTGAGGAGGATCACAATGTTGCATCAAGGCAGATAAGAGTGACCCAAGTGTTGCATCTTGCAGATCTTGGAGAATGCTCTGAGAATTCCCATTTTGGTTATTTTCAGCCTCACTAACTGCAAGACATTCTGCTTCATACTTAGCTATGGCAGCAGGGCCATTCTTATCAAACCTCACCTTCTCTTTCCACCAAGCTCTAAGGTTATCAGAAGAACCACTAACTGGCTTGCCCTTCTCAGGAATTATACCGTACACAAATCCACGAGCTTTGCAGACTTCCATCAGCTTCAGCATATACTTAAGAATCCCATCTTGTGCTCTGGACATTTTCTTTCGACGAGCTTGGTCAGTTGTTGGCCTGGGCTTTTGCTTCTCTGCGGCTTGCTGTGCTGGACGTTTCTGTCTTTCCTTGATCCTTTTGAGTTTGATACTATCCTTCCACATCCGCTTCTCCAGTTCTTCTGCCTCAATCTCTTCATCACTGACATCTTTTTCTGCTATATTTTGACATCTGATATCATCAACCTCTATATCTGAACTGTAATTCAATGTATCACCACTAATCAGAAGATGCTCCATTCTATCAAATAACAAGCTCTCTCAATTTGGTTGCTCAGACAATTTAATGAAACAAAATGGTAGCTCTAAAAGGTTAAGTTGAGTTGGTTTCTCCAAATTATATAAAACTGACATTAGAACTGACCTCACATATGCCAAAAGATCATTGGAGAACACAAAGCAACATGCAAAGTGAAAACTTTATAATATTTGTCATTTCGTACAAGAAAAACTAGTTACTCTTCCATTTACATTTACTTTTCCTTATGTATCCTCAGAAACCGGGCACAAAAACAGAAACTGTTCCCAGTTTGACAACGTTCACACTACAAAAACATCTCAAAAAACACTTCCCATAACTCCTTTCAGTGAAATTACTGCGCAGTCGTTAAAAACTAACAAACTATTCTAAATTTCTACAGAAAGAATCTTAAAAAGCCAGAAACTGAACCAACACACTCATAAATTTTAAAAAAAGAAAGAAATTGAATATTGATGAGCATAAATATAACCGTCCAAAACATAGCATAGACAAAGAGAAGAGACACCACAAAATATCATTTTTTTTTTAAATGAGGAGATTACGAAAGTAACCAATAAAACAAAACCACGAAATAACGAAATTGAAGTAATGGGCATAAGAAAAACCTAATATACATACCAAACATCAGCGCCAATTTCTTCGATTACACCCATCTTATAACAAGGTAGGAAGAAACAGACGAAGCATAAAAATTTGAACTTACAAATCGTTGTTTTTTTATCCCTGCCTTTTTTATTATGATTATTGAAGAGGACGATGATAGCTCCGGAGAGAAGCGATTCCACCAAAAACTAGAACAATCGGAATGGCCGCAAATTCAATGCTTTGTTTGTGTTCTATTCCCGAGGAGAGAGAAACATTTTTAGAGAGAGAGAGAAAGAGAGCAGCTTCACGTGAGAGTAAATTTTAATAGTTTTTTTTATTTTATTAAATTGATGATTTCTATGTTTTAAACTTTTAATAATTCAAAAACTATTTTAAATTATGAATATCCTATAAGAATACATAATGTATTTAATAATAGTCACTAATTTAGAAAATTCTTTAAAATATATTTATTAAGAGAAAACACCTTCTAAAATCTTAGATAAAATTTTTAAAAATTCGGAATCTGTTAAGTTAAAGTTAGATATGTTTAAAAAAATATAAATATGAAAATCGACCTAACGGAGAACGGATTTAATTAGTTTGGTTTTGATTAAATTTGATTGCGTAAAAAAAATTGAACTCATTTATTTGATTTAATTCATTTAAAACAAAATTTCTTCCAATAAAAAATATGTGTAATTTTAAAAAATAAAACGTAATAATGGTTAATCCAATTCCATGAACCCTTCAACTTGTAATTATTTTTTCACTCCACAGTGAAACCACAGCATAGTGTCGTAGACGAACATTCTCTCCTTTGCGCCTGGATTGTAACAGAAGGATTTATATATATATATATATATTAACTTGGGAAAAAGAATATATAATAAGAAAAGTAAACAATAAATTTTATTAAAATTTTAATATTTAATGATATTAATATATTAATTTAAATTATTTTTAATAAAAATATTTATATTATGTATAGATTTTTATTATATAATATTTAATATAAGTTAAAAAATGAACAAAATTTATGTACTATTATGGTGGTGTTAGGATAATTTATTAATAAAAATTTTATTTTAGTTAAATATTTATATTTAATGTTATTATAAATTAAACCTAAATTTTATTTTAAAAAATTATATATTTTTTTATGCTACTGTTGTTAGGTGGTGTCAGCCACCATAATTGAAGTACATCCACTTCTATGCTTTGCTGTCCCCGTCTTACTTACCAAATTGGAGGCCTTTTCCATTCATCGAACCAGTTTCAAAAATTTGTTCCATTGACTATGAATTTTGACCCGCTTTTATAGAAATTCAACTTATGAGCCCCAGAGAATCATATTGTTGCCGATTTTGTAAAAGAAAGTCACTGGGATACTGTAATTCCAATCAAATGAGTATATAGTGAGAAGTACATGTGAAAGTGGAATGTTACTGTATGATGCATTTTATTTAATCATGCAAGATGCTAAATCTAAGTTGTGAAAGTCAGAATGCAAGCTAGTTGTTTGTTGCAAGATTTAGCAAGAGTGCATTCGTCATTGCACAAATGACAGCACTAGAATACCATTATTAGTAGTATTACATTTATCTTGATCTAATGATTTCTTCTTTCATGGCGAGTGACAAAGCACTAAGATTGCCCTCATTCTTTATTTCCACACCGGGCATAGCAACTGCTCTACTCCCTACAAACCCATCTTCTCCTATTTTGATCTCTCCAAACTTCACCATCCCTCCTTCCCCTTCATATATATGTCCAAAAAACAAGGATTCTCTTCCCACACAACCCCCTCTCTCAATCTTCACCATTTCAGGATTCAATAAGGCTCCCATGCTATCTACATAAACTGCATGTTCCATATCAACATCTGCACCCATTAACTTCATCCAAAGCACAAACAAATATGATCCACTTGTCATTTCCATAAAGTAATCTCCAACTAAAGTTCTAATGGCCTGCCATGTGCTGTCCAATGTGATCCTTTGACTCCATATAGGCACTGTTTCACCTGGTTTCTTCCTTCCTACAAGAATCCATTTGGCTATAATACAAGCCAATGCAGCTAAAGCTCCTGAGAGAACCCAAAACAAGGGAAGCAACCAATAAATTGGAAGTTTCTTGGCACTCTTTAGGTAGACAACTGAGTTCAAGGGAGCAAAAGCTGCTAAACCAACGACAATGTAAGGTAAGATTGTTTGCAGCAATGGTTGAGTGAAAAGTGCTGAGAAGGTCTGATACCATGTTCTGGTCAAGGTCACTTTTTGTGAGTCATTTTTGTGCAATACTTCAGCAAAGTTACCAACTTTTTTCTTGTTTTCCATGTCCATCTCCTTTGTCTGTTCATCTAAAGCATTCACTGTGTTCCTGATAACAACTTGTGATTGTGATCCAATGTACACACTTCCCTCTTGGAGTGTAGAATTCATTGGAGCAACTGAAAGCGCTCCTAGAATTACATTCTTTTGGACTATAGAACCAGGGAGAATTAGACTTTGACTCCCAATAACTGAATTGTCTTGAACCTCAACTTTTCCATAAACATATCCATTGGAAGAATGAAAGCCTGTAATAATCCGGCTAAAATCTCCAAGATGGACACCAGCACCAATTGACATTAACTCTGGATTTGAAACTGGGTTGATGGCTCTAATGGAGCAATGCTTGCCAATTTTTGCACCCAAAAGGCGTAAATATATGCAAAAGGCTTCTGTTCCTGAGAGAAACTTTGCACATCTAAGGTGGCAGGAAATGGTCATTTGACACCGAAGCCAAGTTTTAAATTGGGTTTGCTTTTGACTAGATAAGAAGAGATGTGTCAAACCACTGGTGAGAATGATGGTTATGAGACCATGAAGCAAGTAAGCACTGGTAAATGAAATGGCAAAGGTGACGGGATTTGATGGAACTTCAGAAAACATGGTAGCATATGCAATTAGGGTAAAAGGGATCCAGTGGAAGGCCCCACATATGCAAATAAATGAAAAGTGTTGGAGTGATGAAGGTTGCTTAGAGAATCTGATGAATAAGAAGTAGGCAATGGCTGCAGAAAGGGAGCTGAGAAAGCCAACAAGATAGATCCCCATAAAGTGGTAGATAATGTCATGTTGAATTTTGCGGGTTATAACAGGCAGCTCTATATTCTGAAAATACAAACCATAAGGTATTAGCTAATGGTTCAATATTTATTTGTTATTTATATTTTATTTATGTCATAGATATAGACATGCACATTAGTATGTGCCCCCAAAAAATAAGAGGAAAATAGTACAAAGTCCTACACTCTAAAAACAAACTTGAGTAGGGAGGCAATGTGACAACAGAAGCTATTTTTATGGAATGATGAAGTTTAGAGCAACAAAGGATGAAAATGTCCCATTTGTAGTAGCACTGTGGCCGTATAGTAAGACCTCAAAATTAAACAAATTACATGGTCCAAGACAGAATCTTATCTATATAAACTATATGAAATAAGCTATAATATACGCTCAGAATATACAAAATATTTTGTACGAATTTTCTTATGCATAACATACCTTATCAACATTATTATGCTTAGCAGGTTTGAGCACATGCTGGCCTTCTCCAACCTTTTGCAAGGCCTGTACCTCAGCACCTTCGCCAATAACACTTCCTTTTTGGATAACGGCATAAGGTCCAATGGAAGAGCATTTGCCAATCCTAATAGGATGGACACTTAGAATTCCGTTCTTTACCTCATGGCTTTGAACCAAAACACCTTCTGCAATGACAGCTTCATCTCCAATTGACACCAAAGATGGATCTGTGATGTCAACTGTATCAAGCAAAACTGAGGATCCAATTTTTGCACCCAGCATCTCAAACCAGTATTTTAGAAACACTGTTCCTCTGAGGTGTATTGCCAGAACTTTAGAAGAAATTTCTTGGACCTTATATAATGCCCACCACTTGACAAAATCCCTTGAGTAGATGGAGATTTCAGAGGTAAGGGCATAGTTTGGCCCCAAGAAAGAATTTCCAAATAAGGAAATGCAAATGCATGTGAAAGCAATGCAAAGAATCCAAGCAAGAGGTGCAGAAGTCAGGGAAATTAAATAATTTAACCAGGGAAATCCATCTATTGATTTACTGGCACTTTGGATGAAATTTAGATAAGTAGTGATGGATAGATATGCAGGAGAGACCAGCATGATAGAAATATAAATAAGTGCTAGGAGTTGAAGCACACGGATACCAAATTGGTAAGACTTGGATACCTCCACAATCAATTCAGTAGAATCAGTCTCAGCTTCTGGAACATCGGATGGATTGCTTGAAAGTTGAGGCTGAGACTTTGATAGAAGATCCTCAGAGAAGGTAGCCAGTTCTAGAATGCAGGATGCTGTGAAAACATCTATAGCTGCAATTGGTGTTCCTAGGAAATCTGAGAGTTTTTGAGTTGCTTTAACCACACCAATTGAGTCAATTCCATAGGAAGTCAGGTTGTCTGTGATTGAGATGCTGTTGATTGGGATTCCAGTCTGCTCAGAAATAAGCCCTTTCAAGAATTCCACAATTTCATTCTTACTGATTCTCTTCCTAGGTGCAGGGATACTTCTCATTAGTTGGAGTTCTGGTGTTTTTCCTTCTCTGAATGTTCCTGTAGTAAATGACCTTAACAAAGATTTCTTTGTCAAAATAGATTTTGGACCTTGTGCCAAGTTCAGTGTCTCATCTGTGAACTGTTTGACACATTCAAATCTCTTGATTTTTCCTGATGTTGTTTTGCTGATGGTTCTAGGCTTGATCAGCTTGACAGTCGCGACACTGACTCCGTGTTCTTCTGCCACACGAGTTCTAATTTTCTCAACCACATCTTTGCTAGCTGGTTTTCCATCCCTCACTTCAGCAATCACAACCAAGCCAACCTGATCAGAACCATCTGGAATGGAAATTCCCTTTGCTGATAGAATTTCCTCAGGGACACCAATGACAGCACAGCAACCAGGACGAAGAAATTCAGATGAAGTCTCAACTGTCTTTTCAACATCTGCTGAGTAAATATTTCTTCCAGCAACAATGATAAGATCCTTGATTCTTCCAGTGATGAATAGCTTCTGGTCTATTATTCTTCCCAAGTCTCCAGTTCTTGTGTAGTTATGTCCAGGATGATCCGGAAGTTCATTCCTGAAAGTGTTGTGACTCAATTCTTCCCTTCCCCAATACCCTATTCCTGCACTTGGACTACTAATCCAGATTTCTCCTTCCTTTCCATCTTCCTGAAGCTCTTCACAAGTCTCTGGATCAACTATTCTAATGTCAACATCTGCATCCTTTT